TTCATAGCTATTAACTTTAGGTAGGTACCTGTATATTAGTCATTGCTTCTAACTTAGTAGCAGCACAGTAAAATAATAGTCAGGTATTGTAATATTATTAGTTATTAGTTGAATAACATACAGCTATTAACTATACAACTAGGTTATGTTTCGTAAAAAAGGCTTAAGTATAAGTCTGCCAAACGCAGACGATTGCTAGATGCAAATAATTTTATTGAACATTTATCTGATAATACTTATTTAGACATATCACCAAATAATAATATTGACAATACTATTTCATCTGAGCTAAATAATTACAAAGATAAAGTTAACACTGTTTTATTTGAAACTGCTTCTAGTTCATCTGCTGCTAATTGTGTTGATCAAGGCTTTAATGATGATGTTAGTGTGAGTTTAGATTGTGAAATAAAGTCACATTGTGAAGTCGAAAGTTCCGAGGAAAGTGATGATGATAGCGTGCATAATGAAATGAATGATCAAAGAACTCCAGAGGGAATCACAAATGATTTAATTGAATGGGCAACTAATCACAATATACCTAATAATGCATTCGATAATTTGCTAAAAGTATTAAAAACTCATAAATGCTTTGAAGGTTTTCCCTCAACTAGTAGAACATTTTATAAAATACATTCTGGAGTTTCATATGATAAACCTATTCAAGTAAAACCTATTGCACCGGGTATTTACTATCATTTTGGAGTGGCTAGTAGCATTAAAAAATATATAGACAGCCATTTTTCTGATGAAACAATTAAGTTAGTCATAGGAGTTGATGGTTTGCCATTAACAAAAAGCTCTGGTAGTTGTTTTTGGCCTATATTAGGCTATATTAGACAAAACATTGAATCTGTATTTCTCATTGGACTATATTGGGGGTGCAATAAACCAGTTGATGGCAATTTATTCATTAAAGATTTTGTTGATGAAATTAGTAGTTTAATAATCAATGGAATTTATGTGGACATTATTATTGAGAACACTTTAAAAACAGTTCATAAAAAAGTTAACATTGACAGTTTTTGTTGTGATGCACCAGCTAAGGCATTTTTACTGAAAACAAAATCTCATACAGGATTTTTCTCATGTACCAGATGTACAGTGCAGGGAAAATATTTATTAAGACGGGTTTGCTTTCCAGAATTAAAATGCTCAAAAAGAACTCATGTAGATTTTGTGAATCAAGTTCAAAGACAATATCATAGCACTGATGGTAATATCTCAGAAATATTAAATATTCCTGGTATTGATGTTGTTCAACAATTTTCTTTGGACTACATGCATGCTGTATGCCTTGGCACAATGAAAAAAATTCTTATGTTATGGAAAGGTGATAATATTGGTCGAGGAGATGCAAATAAACAGAAATTAAGTCCTGGATTAATTAAAAAAATGTCTGAACGCCTCTTGTCATTAAAAAATGATATTCCACTTGACTTTGTACGAAAACCAAGGTCATTAGATGAACTACCAAGGTGGAAGGCCACTGAATTTAGGCTTTTTTTATTGTATGTTGGTCCTGTCATTATTCATTCTATTGTGTCGAAGCAAATATTTCAAAATTTTTTATGTCTGAATGTAGCCATGACAATATTTTTAAGTCCAAATTACAATCACCTAGCCATATACGCTTAGTCATTAATGTTCGACTTTGTCAAACATTTTGGAATATTATATGGTGATCATTTTATATCTCACAACATCCACGGGTTAATTCATTTGTATGATGATTATCAAAATTATGGTATGTTGGATAATATTAGTTGTTTTAAATTTGAAAATTACATGAGCCATTTAAAAAAAATGGTTCGTAAAAGTGATAAGCCTCTTCAGCAGGTTGTTAGAAGGTATGAAGAGCGTTCTAAATATATTCCACCCACAGACTCGTCTGCAAATTTAAAGGAAACAGTTCAATTCAAACAGTTGCATAACAAAGGGCCTTTAATCACACATACTTCTTCTCCTCAGTATAAAATTGTTGTGTTAGACAAAATTAAAATTAATGAGGACTCTAATGCTGACTCTTATGTTGGTGTGAAATTAAATGGAACTTTAAGTATTGTTAAAGTTGTAAATATATGCTATAGCCAAGAGTTGAAAAAACATGTTTTATTAGGTAAAAAAATTGAAAGAATGGACAGCTTTTTTACTAAACCTATAAAGAGTGAAAAATTAGGAATTTTTAAACTAAATCATTTTTCTAAACAACTTAGTGTTTGGAATATTGATGATGTAACAACCAAATACATGATTTTAAAAGCTCATGATTTAAATTGCATGATAGCTTATCCAATTATTCATTTTAATAATTAAGTTTTATTTATAATTTTAATAAAAAAAACTTAGTTATTTCACAATTTTTAAAATTTTAATTTTATACCTATATTAATAGTTTAGTCCATAATATGTACATATCTTATCCAACAAAATCTTTATTACCTATTTTAATATACCTGATAGCTTTACATAATATTTTTAAATGGATAGGTACCTACCTAATATTATTTTAGTCTTTAAGTCCTAAAATAGAGAATTTTATTTTGATTTCTTACCCTCAAATTTTTTTATATCTACTTCTAAATACCTATTATTATATTTTATGTTTTTATTTACACAAGATTACACTACAACAATTGTTATAGCACTAATAATTTTAATTATAAACTGCTTCTTACCGCTTCACAGCATAAAACATGTGGTCAATAGTTAATTTTGACGCCGATAATTCTGTGGAACCGGTTCCAACACATTGGCTAAACAAAGACAAATCAAAATGTGCTTGGCCAAACAATGACTCAACTGCTGATCAGTTAAGAAATAACAGAGCAAAGCCGAATGAATTTGATTTTTCCTATTTCAGCTGTCGAGTAATGGCTAATAATATTAGTAAGTATTCTGTAGGTGTCCTATATTGTGAACAATGAATATAATTAAGATAATCGATTTTATTATTAAGGTTTATATTGATGGATAATTCTTTAAATTACTTTATTTATGTATAATGGAAATTGGAAATGCATATAATGTATTATGTATTATTTATGTACTATATATATGTACATTGTAACTACCATAAAAATTAATTTCCTCTACCTAAGTGTATAATTTAATTTAACTTTTTTATGTATCTAAATAGATTATAATATATCCATTTTTAGTAAGGTTGTAGCAATTTTGTTTTATTTTATTAGAGAATCGTTTTTATAAAATATTTATATCTTTTCATTTATCGTTCTTAATTTTGAATATTTAAACTTATTTTATTTTTTGAATATAATAAATTTACATTGGTCTTCAAACTTACAAATCAAATTTATATTCAATTTGTATAATTCATCTTTTTAAACTTGTAAATATTGCCTATATAATTCTAATTGTTTTATGTTTTAAAATATAAGGTTCATTAGCCGACGCTACCAAAAAAGTGAAACTAGCTATGCATACTTCAGATTTGTCGGATGGAGAAGTAATAAAGAACACAAAGACAAATAACCATTGAAGTGAAAAGAAAAGAAAAGTTAATAGTTCATCGAACAATAATTCATCTAAATAACCAAGTAAACCAACTTTTTGGTATACCCATATATACCTATATAGGTATAATATAAAATAATATATTATAATGGAGATTAAAGTTAAAAAGCGACTTTTACTTTAAATGAATCATTATTTTCAGTTAGAAAAAAATTAATTTTTAGCTTAACGTTCAATTAGTCACCATTTAATCTTTATTATAGTCAACAAAAATATCTAAAACATCTTAATATATTATATAGTACTATATTTAATGAAATATAATTTTTTTTACATTTATGTATAATTCTCCAAACACAAAATTAATTTAAAGATATTTTTTGTGCTTAATCATCACATTCCTATTTATAATTTTAAAACTACTAACATAGTATGCTGTGTAGTTTCTTCAATATATATACCTAATATATATTTATTTTCATATTTTCATAGACTTCAAGAAATTAAAAAAAGATAATTCACTGAAAATAGTAGATATAGACATCACAAATAATAACTTGTCAAGTGATACCGACGAAAGCTCAGAAAAATGTAAGACTATTTTAATTAATATATTATAATATTGTAATAATTTATACATTTAATTATTTTTTAGCTTTGTTTGATGATAGTGACGTGGACAAGAATTATGAATTACATGAAGATTGTTCCAAAAAAAGTGTACTTAATGGTAAGAGTAATATTATAAAGCTCTGTTACGACCCTGACATTTATATTGAAAAATTTATGTTTAGATTCTGATAATGATGATATTTTCACTGCAACTAAATCAACTTTAAACAAACAGGGTATGTATAGGTATCATATTATTAATTTAAACTTAAGTATCACTTAATATTTCCAGTTGCAAATTTTCTATTAGATGAAAAAAGTTCAACATTGAGTATTACGCCTATCTCCAAAAAGTATGGTATACAAAACAGCGTCGTTTTTCAGAAAGGTATACAAATTTAAGATATTTACTGTTATAATAAAAATAATAATACTCTATGCCTATCTAATCTATATGATTTTTCAGATAATTCTTCATCTTCCAATGCAGTTACAGATACACAAAATGTAACACCTTCAACAAGTAACCACCATGAATCAGATATTCAGAATATACAAGTTTCATACTTAACCGGTGATGCAATAAATACACCTGCGAGTGCATCTCCTTTAGTTAACGGAAATGAACAACATCTGAGTAAGCAAAATATTTTTAAATACTTAGTATATTAGGTATACTTTATACCTAATTATATTCAATATAATAATATTATAATTAGGTATTACTAATTTAAAATAATACCTTATACATTTTAATATACCATTGTAGTTTTGAATTATTCTATTAGCACTATAATGTTTTAATATAATGGCTTGATTTTACAGATTTTCAGAAACTCATTTTGAAATATTTAACTTCTTTAAAAGTTGAAGTTTCTAATATTTCTGATACTCAACAAGAGATTATTAAGATGGTTAATGATATCCAAAACAGAACTTCAACTCAAGTAGATGATTCATGGGCCCATGAGGTTGATTATTTTGTTTCAAGCTGGCCAATATCTGACCAAGATGGTCTCAACGATATGGAAAATAAAATTAAGAGTGATTTTAATTTTCGTAAACAAGTTGTAAGGTCTTTTTTATAAATCGTTATTTTATTTTTATTTTATTTTTTTTAAATTTAAATTTGTTATTATTTTTAGGTAAGTGAACTGGCTAGGATTGGAGGCAAGTTGTTACCAAACATGGTATATAAAATTCTAAAAAAAGTTTTTGACGATAGCATTTTACTTGAATTCACATATTATGGCTTGAGAAATAAGGACAATTTTTCTTTACTGGCTATAAATAAAGTAATAATTGGTAAGTTTTATATTTGTGAATTTTTGTATTATGTTAACCCTTTGACGAGTATGGACGTATATATACGTTTTGTTGAAAAGCTCCTCAGGGAATATGGACGTATATTTACGTTTTACACTAAAACGTTATTTTATCTATGTGTTATGTCCGTATTAAATTTATGATAATTTATGAATCATGTGCTGCCATCTACTGGCTACGTATATTTACGTCTTTACTAAAATAGCGGTGTCGTATTTAAGACGTAAATATACGTCTTTACTTTAAATAATTTATCCAAGTTGCTCATTGCTAATTCACTCCCTGGGTGTAAACTAATAAATCCCAATTCACTCTCCAAAGGATTAAATTTGAATTAGAATGAATATATTTATTTATATTACATCTTAATCAGCAAAATAATTATAATATGTCGATTATAGATTTCCAAGTAGTTATTAATACTAATTGAAAAGTTGTTTTTTGCAAGATCAACATTTTAACTACTACTTCATATAGTAATTAAATAATAGACAACAATTAATTAATGATGATAAAGACATAGGCACATTTATAATTATTAATTATATATGGGTCTTATGACTGAATTAAATCAACATAATATTTACTTTTATTAAATTATAATAAAATGAAAAACTATTTACATGTAAATACTAAATATAATAATGTAGTTATACAATTTAACCTACTACATTTTCATAATATTCTGTAATCTTTATGTAATTGAAATACCTATTACCTAGTTATAGTTACCTATATAGAAAACATTTATTTAACTAATATATACTACAATATTCATTCCTTCTTGTAATAATAATGGAAACACATATAATTTATTATAATAATATAACAATACTAATATAGTATTAATTATTATAATTTTAAAATATTCATATAAGTACCATCTTCACTCAGAATCTTTTTTATCATACAATAATTTATCGTTGAATTAATATTTACCTATTACACTATTATACACACATGCTCTGCAATGACGATGTACAGCAGAGTAGTTATGAAAATTTGCCCACCGTTGTTATTTTAAAATGTTTGAGTTTATTGTCTAAATTCAATAATTTTAACTAAATAATTATAACATTTTTATTTTATTTTTCCCTGATAAATTTAAAAAATACCTCAGGGTATACCTCAACTAAATAACAAAAATATGTACATGTACCTATGTTAATATTATATTTATTTTTATTAAGTAATTATAGTTAGACAATTACTATTTTAATAAAGTTTATATTTTTACTTAAATAGAAATTAACGTACAAAATTATTTTATGTTTATAGAAGCAATACTGAAATCAAAATTCAAAAATCATTCAAATGATGAGATCATTACAGCCATTAGTAAATGGCTAACTGGGGCAAAAGGCAGAATTTAAAAAAAATAAAAATATTTTAATAATTGTATATTCCTATAATTTGTTAAAATAAAATTAATAAACTTAATTGCATATTTTATCATTTTAATTTTAATACCTACTCCTATTTAATATTATGATGTATATTATAACTAAATTAGTATTTATAATATGATAATTATTATTTATTTATGAATATACTATAAATGACCAACAAAGATACTGTTGGATATCTGATTGATATTTAAAAATATGTAATTGAGATATTTATGAGATATTATTATATTATTGATGATATATCAAATAGATATGTAATTGAGGTATTAAAGATATTTAATAGATATTATAATATTATTAATAACATATCAAATAGATATCACTTATTGGACATATTTTAGATATTGATTTTTGGTTCATAAGAAATCACATGGATATTCTATAGATATTTAAAAATTTTCTATAGAGATATTTCAGATATCAGACATATATGTAAATTAAAAATACGATATTGCCTAGATAACTGTCAGATAAACTATTGCTATCTGGGAAAGTTACCCAGAAGATATCAAAATAAGTTGTCCAGAATCTGTCTTTCCCGAAATTGGGATATCATTTAGATATCGTTTGGATAACTTAGTGTTGTTAGGGTTGCGATAAGACAAAGAAACGACAAGCTCAAATATAATTATATAGTGATGTCAGGTGAACTGTGAAGCCACTTGGACTTCTATATTTTATTATTTTTATCGAAAAGAAATTTTATCATTTTGGATTCTGAGTGGAACGATGAATGTATTGATTTTACAATGATGTGTTTTTATATTTTTTTATTTTTTATTTTTGTGTCTGTGTACACGATAAGTAGGTAGTCGAAATAATGCTTCGATTTTCGACTTCAGTATCTTGTTCGATTGGAAAATGAATATCGTTGGTGCATTGGGAAGGTCAAAATTTAAAATTCCAAGTAGTTTTCAAAAGCGCCAAGAAAAACAAAAAAAAAATTAAGGAAAAACGGGAATTTTTAAAAATCGGTTTTTCAGAAAATTGAATTTGGTTTTTGGTGTAACTTTAAAACAAATGACCGTAGATACATAAAATTTTCACTAGTTGTTTATATTAGCATTTTCTATACACGATAACATTTTCAAAATATTTTGATTTATTTTGAACTGTTTAGGGACATTTTCATTTTTAATTTTTTTTTAGTTTTTTTTCTAGAAATATCAATAAAATTTTATTCGTTGGTTAAAAAAACTTGAAAATTTAATAGAAGGCTCCTAGTATATTGTTTCAAAGGCAGATGAAAAATATTAAAAATCGTTAGTCACAGTTTTTTTTTTTATAAGCATTTAAAGTTCAAAAATTGACAAAATATGGAAAAATCACGAAAATTAGCAAATTATTTTGAGTTAAGAATTCGTAAAAACTTTTCTTTTTAAATCTAAGATTTGAAAATTTAATACAAGATTACTCATAAGATTGTCTACCTTTATCAATAAAAAAATCTCTACCGGACAGTCAAATTTAATTTTTATGAGCGTTTGAAATTCAAATGTTTACAACATTGGATATTCACTTGATTTCTCATGTAACGATTTTCTTATTTTGTTGTAATTCAAAAACGAATAACTATAGATACATGACAATTTCACTGAATGTTCAGATTAGCAATTCCTATACACTGTACAATTTTGAAAATAGTTCGACTCTTTTTGAGCTGTTTACGGACATTTTCAGTTTTCAATTTTTTTAGTTTTTTTTTTCTATAAATATCAATAAAGTTTTATCTGTTGGGCCAAAAAGTGTAAAAATTTAATACAAGGTTCCTGATATATTGTTACAGTAGCAATTGAAAAATATTAAAAATTCCTTAGACACAATTTTTTTTATAAGCATTTAAACATCGAATTTTGACAAAATTTATTAAAATCTCGAAAATTATCAATCATTGTAATTAATAAATTATAAAATGTTCAGTTTTTATAGCTAAAGATTGCAAATTTAAAACAATGGTTCTCATAAATAGTTCATACTGTAACCAAAAAATCTAAAAAATATATGAACACAGTTATTTTTTACAGGCATTTTAAATTCAAATTGGAAGAAATTACATATTAAAATCAATATTAACGATCTTTGTTTTTGTTGTAATTTAAAAATATTATTCGGGGATATATGAAACTGAAAAATCAAAATATTATGGCCTATCCATACAATCTACCATAGTATAAGGAATAAGAATTATGCTCATGATAAGACTGTGCATATTTTAAGAAATGTATTCATAAATTCCATATAATTTAATACCATAGAAAAGTATATAATAGGTATGTCTTATACCTAGACTGACATTCCATCTTCGCTCAGAATCGTTTTTCTTATACAATGATATTGTATCATTGAATTCAAATTTAAAAGCATCCATTATACAGTGACCCACTTGTAACCTATAGTACAGCAGAGCGACATCCACTTACCCACCTTTTTTTTAAATGTTGGTACTGCCAGAAGCGTATTACCAAATAGCAATTTTTAAATATTTTTTACGAACCGGAACGGACGCAAAAACTAATATTACGAACACTTTTTGAGTCTATTTATTTGAGCACTGATGTGGAGTGTGGGTGCAAATAACAATCGACAAAACATATAACATAATTGCATTCTTATATTGCAAAATCTCCCTGATAGAAAATATAAAAATTTGTTTTTATTAAAACTATATCTATATATATTATATATATTATTATAATTATTAATAAGCAGAGTATAATATTTTAGAATGTATGTATACAATTAAAAATGCAATATTATTTTATATTTTTAGTTGTACATTTTCACATATTTTCGGAAAATTAAAATTAAAATAACATAAATTTAACCAACTAGAAACATATATAAATTATTCTCAAAATAATGTTACTTTACGCTAATAACTTAATTGTCTTATACAAATAAGTTTAAAATTGAATATTACAAAAAAAACAAAATCATGATAGTATGAAAATGTTTAAAAAATAATATAACTATTTTACACTCTATGAAACCTTTTAATAAGTTTAAAATGATAATATTTTAAATGTAGTGTAGTTTCAATGTTATAGAAACATCAATGTTATGAAATTGCTATCTGGGAAGGGATAACTAGACTTTTTTCTTTTTCTATAAGTTTCAATAATTTTAACCTTTCTTCCTCGTCAACAGTGATATGTGGGACCTTCCAGACTATTTTGTTTAAAACGACTTTACCTTCAGTAGCAGTTACACCAGTTTTACAACTTAAAGCATTTAAATCGCTATGACTTCAAGTTAATATTAATTCCAATCTAGAATTCACCAATATTCTTTTATAGTCTTCAAACAAACCTAACCAATATTTTAATGGAATGCAAGCACTAAATTCACCTTTGTCATTTTCCGATTGCGTAGCGTTTTTAAAATTCCAGCCAGCATTTTCATAACAATTGTAGTTGTATGGTGTACCGGATAAGTATCCTTTCAACGAGCTAGTGATTCCAAGAACACGTGTGCTATCTACTTCTATCCCATTTATTTCCAACCGTATTTGCTCAAAAGGTAAGAGTAACCGTTATTAGATAGTTTCACTTTGGTAGCATCAGTAATTATTCCTTCCAAAAAAATAAAGCTTTCGTGTAGATATGGATAGACATCCGTTTGCTGGATTGATATACGTATTTCATCATTATTATTAAATGATGTTGTATACGGTGTGTATGAATGATATTCAATTATTGTAATTTTAGAATCCGTTTCGTACTATGAAGTTATATCCAAAATATCACTTTCAGGCATTCTGCTTTAATTGATAACCCAAAGCTTGTAAAATTTTTTTATACTTCACCGTTAATTGTTTTATCTTATTTGATGTTGCTGGTGGCACTTTAGTCTTATGACTAGTTGTGCTGATCCGAAGTAGCGGGTTTATATTGAATTTCAACCCCATCTCAAGACCCGTAACGTTTGATATGTAACACGATTGTCAATGCCTCACCAAAATTATCAATCGGATTATGATCTTGATCAACTAATTGAACGGTTATCGAATCAATATTTGTTTTATTCAATTTGTAATATATTAAATTTGGCGGTGACTGAATTACTTTCGACTCTGTCCTTTCACTCGGGAAAAACTCATAAATCGAATGACTTTGAAGATGGTTGTTGAATGATCCTTGAACTATATTGCACACTTTTATAGAATTAATTGTGTTTAAATTTACAGCATTTTCCGATCGAAGAATTTCATAGTATGGCTTGGTGACCGGTCAAAATATCTCCGCAAAAATATCACCGACAAAATATCTCCGATACAAAATATCTCTAGTCAAATATATCTCCGATTTAAAATATCTCCAGTACAAAATATCTCCGATTTAAAATATCTCCAGTACAATGCAATTTGTATTATCTGATATATTTTTCACGATTACGAGTGCGGTTATAAACCATGATAAACGATTTTATCGACGTAACGACTGTATCGATACGACAGTGTGTCAGTATAGACACAGAGCTTGTATCGATTAACCAGCTAGTTCCAGTTTCACTAAAATACAACGGATTTAGATTTAAAAATGCCTCTACAATTTATTGTAAGTCAAAAAGGCAACAAGTTATTATTGCATAACGGATACCTGCATACGTTAGTAGTATAGATTTGTATGTTCACAGTCTTTTTTTTGTGTCACCACGGTAATTTCACAACGTCCAAGGGAGGATGCCCCCCTTGGACACAATAATTTTACCGTGTAAAAATTATGAAGAATTTACACACTTTTTACACGGTAATTTCACACCATCCAAGGGAGGATGTCCCCCTTGGACACAATAATTTTACCGTGTAAAAATTATGAAGAGTTTGCACACTCAAACAAACCTTATTACTAAAATGAAATAATTATTTAAAATACAGAACACAAGTTATGTAATAATAGATTTTTTTATTATTGAAAATTAATTCTTAAATATATTTACACAAGTTTTCTTACTTCTCTAGTAAA